TCGCAAGTTGAAGGAAGAAGAGGCCGCTCGCAAGTTGAAGGAAGAAGAGGCCGCTCGCAAGTTGAAGGAAGAAGAGGCCGCTCGCAAGTCGGCGAAAGAAGCGGCAAAATGGGAGCGAGTGGCCAGACTGGCGCTGGAGGCGGAGGCCGAACGTCAACGGAAGGCCGCCGAGGCCGCTCGCAAGTTGGCGGAAGAAGAGGCAGAACGTGAGCGACAGGCCAGAGTGGCCGCGGGGGCGGAGGCCAAAGTGGCTGATGAAGAAAAGAGAAAAGGGTCGTTGAAACCGAAGGTGACGTGGGACGAGCGCATTCAGGAAAGGATATTCTACGATGAACCCGAGGGAACGGAGCACCCATTATCGGAGACAGGGCGTTTAAAATCACCAGCGGATGTTGAAGGACGCCGTCCGCAAAGTATCGTAGATATGGATCCTCGCAAAAACCCTTCAGATGGCACTCAGGAACAAACATTTGAGAGTAGAGGAAGAAGCTGGACCGAGCGGACGGCTGGAACGCCTTCGGACACCCGCGAACGACTCATGTATCGCGACATGGGTCGAGGGGAGATTGATGTAGAGAATGGAAACGTACGAGAAGATCAAGACGATGGAGAGATCTCATTCGAAGAGCCGTTGCCGAATTCGGGTCCTCTCGAGAGGCCGCTTGGACCGGATTTGGACGCCCGTGAACGACCGGACGTAGGAGACAACGAAGAAGAGGCAGAACGTGGGCGACAGGCCAGATTGGCGGAGGAAGCGGAAGCGGACGCCGAACGTACCCGGAAGGCCGAGGAGGCCGCTCGCAAGTTGGCGGAAGAGGCAGAACGTGAGCGACAGGCCAGAGTGGCCGCGGGGGCGGAGGCCAAAGTGGCTGATGAAGAAAAGAGAAAAGGGTCGTTGAAACCGAAGGTGACGTGGGACGAGCACATTCAGGAAAGGGTATTCTACGATGAACCCGAGGGAACGGAGCACCCAATATCGGAGACAGAGCGTTTAAAATCACCAGCGGATGTTGAAGGACGCCGTCCGCAAAGTATCGTAGATATGGATCCTCGCAAAAAGCCTTCAGATGGCACTCAGGAACAAACATTTGAGAGTAGAGGAAGAGGCTGGACCGAGCGGACGGCTGGAACGCCTTCGGACACCCGCGAACGACTCATGTATCGCGACATGGGTCGAGGGGAGATTGATGTAGAGAATGGAAACGTACGAGAAGATCAAGACGATGGAGAGATCTCATTCGAAGAGCCATTGCCGAATTCGGGTCCTCTCGAGAGGCCGCTTGGACCGGATTTGGACGCCCGTGAACGACCGGACGTAGGAGACAACGAAGAAAGAGGCGGAAATGATGACGTACATGACGACGAAACCAGATCGGACGACGGAAGATTTTCGATCGAGGCCCTCTTACGGCGGCTGAGAGACACGGACGCCAATATTGGGGAGGGGAAGATACTGCGAGAGTATGTGCGTAGAGCGCATGAGCGGGGAATCACCCGTGGCGCTGTCATAAACGGTTGGGACCAGCCGTCGGATATACGACGCACGAAGAGGAGGGCGGTAGGGTCGGATCACGTCGCAACGGGTCCCGGGTACGATAGGGGGGCGCTGTTGAGCACGGGCGACGACATGATCAGCGCAGCGGAGGATTACATCAGAAATCAAGAAGGTCACGTGTTCGTATTTGGTAGCGAAGGCGCTCTCGACGCCCTCCGGCCGAATCCGGGTGTCATCGTGGTTCCCTCGAGTGGACGGCAACTCCCTCCTTGGGTCTGGATGCACGGCAACCTTCTGTTCATCGGGAAAACCCAGATCTCGAACGCCGTACGACAACGCCTCGAGAGCGTGACCGGGCAACAGTACCCGAAGGTCAGTGTCCTCGTCAGCCGTGAGGAGGAACGCTCGCTGACTCCCGACGAGAGCGTTGACCTTCACAAATTGATCGCGGGCGCCGGACGACGGGGAATTATGTGCGCGGAGAGTATCTGTGATGGAATTCCAATATGACCTCTCTCAACTCATCAGAGTTCTCAACGGAGCCGTGCAGGACGACCCGAAGGGGCTGAGATTCGCGCAGCTGATGAACGTCTTCAGGAATCGCGACAGAACGGTCCGACTACGGAACGGGGCGGAGCGGGGCAACTGGCGTCTCTCTGAGTCTCTGAAAAAGGTCATCGACGCAGCCTCAAAGCGCCGGAAGGGACTGGAACTGGATGGCCTGATACGGCTTCGGGCATCTCTGGATCGGATGAAAAATACCGTCGTATGCCGGGA